GCTGGCGCCTGGGCCCCTCGGTGCAGGCCGGCTGCCGAGCAGCCTGGGGGGCGCAGGGAGGGCCGCCGCGCGGTGGGTAGGGGAGGTCCCGGGAGAGCGCGGGCGACTCCCTCTCTTTAGCGAGAGGGGGCTTCACGCCCCATCCTCGAGAGGGCCTGCTCTAGCGGGGAAGTGGACGCTGGCTTTGGCTCAGGGCCACGGGGTCCCAAACTCTGTCCCCATGTCGGGGCCGCTTCCCTCCCTTCTCCCCACTGCATCGTGCTAGTTTGCCAGGGGCAGCCTTTTTGCCCGCTCCCCTGCCCCCTCCCGCTGCTGCTCCCCAGCCCTCAGGAAGAGAGTCAGCTGAGGGGGGGCCAGATTCAGGGTCAAAGATCGACAACAGGGGGTGTTACCCGGTCTTTAGGGAGGTTGTCTGTCCCTAAGGGGAATGGAGGGCAGGGTTAACAGGCAGTCTGGAGCCACTTATCCCCTCCCCCTCTCTGCTGGGATCCCCCAGAAAATCTGGGGCCTCTGAAGATCACTATAAACCACCCCCTTGCACACTGTGGGACCCAGGGAGTGAACAGCTTATTTCCAAAAAAACGTTCTCTCCTGGTGGAATCTGGATAATTTCCCTGGGGAAGTGCAGCAAGAAAAGGGCTCTGCAAACAGATCCCTGCAGATAAGTTGGCATTTGAAAGAGAAAGGGACACTGACCTCCTTTGAAGGGAGGACCGAGGAGACTGCCCCACCCAACCTCTGGTCAGGAGGCCACTGGAGCCCAGGGGAACCCAAATGCCCCTGCTTGACTGATACCCTCTGCTCCTCCTCTGCAGACGACCAGAGCCAGGCCGAGGAGAAGGGACTGCTCTGTCAGAACCCCGCCTGCATGGACAAGGGGCGGGCAGCCAAGGTAGGGAGGCTGGGGGCGGGCAGGGGGTGGAGGGGACCCGGCTCTACCCTCCCAGTCAAGCACAGGATATCCACGGCACTGTGGCAAGAGTGTAGCTGGTTGAGCCACAGAGTCCTCTGGGTACAGGGGAGAGGAGGGCCACAGGATGGCTGGTTTAGGAGGCAAGGGGCTCTGGCTCAGGGACAGCGGAGAGGGGGGAGTTCTGCAAGAACAGGGGAGCAGGGGTGTCCCAAAACCTTTTGCTGCACTGTGGTCCTTACAGCAGCCCAGAGGTGGCCGGAGCTGCAGCCCCATGTTACAGATGAGGAAGCTAAGGCTTAGCAAGGAGAAGTGGTTTCCCCGAGGTCCCCTCCCAGTGCCCAACCAGCACTCTCCTGTGACACCTGCCACTCTTCAGGCCTGGAAATGGGTTGGGGACATTTTGGACTTGATGAGCATGACCATGGCCATGGGGATGTCAGAAGGAAGAAGGGGATCCCAGGACCCATGAGCCAGTAGTGGGACACAACATGAAGAGAAAAAGGGGTCCAGAAGAGAGATAACAATGAAAATACTGCCTGGGGCCAGCAGGTAGCGTGGTGGTTGAGGCACTGGATCCCACGGTGGCCAACTCCACGGTTTGAGTCCTAGACTTTGCGGCTTGAAAAACACACCAGGCATGTGTGTGTGCATGCCCCAAATCCTGAGAGGAGAATGAAGAAGGGACTGTGGCATGGCCATCCCCTCTGGGGGGTGATTTCTTACTTTCTCTGTCTCTTATGTGGCGGGTGCATGCACTCTGTGGGAAAAATCTAAAAAAAAAAAAAATTGGCTGGGCATTTCTGTCTATGACATGCCGGTTCTATGCCACACACCTTCTGTGCTTTATGCTCTGCCCGTGACCACTTTGCAGGGAAGGCATCATTACCCCGTTTTTCAGATGATGACACCAAGGTTCGGAGAGGCTGTGACTTGGCTGAGACCCACAGCTCATGAGAGATGGGCAGGTTGTCCTCTCCCAGCAAGCATTTGAGTGACAATAGAATCACTTCCTGTCAGACCCGGGCACTGAGAACTCACTGGCTGGGATGGGTTCTGCCCTTGTTCCCACTTACAGATCAGGAAACTGAGGCTCAAAGAGGTGAAGTGTCTCACTGGAGAATACATCGCTAGGAGGCAGGAGAGATAGGATTTTTGTTTATGTTTTTGCTCTATTTATGATAGAGTGTGTGCACAAACACACAGAGAGTGAGAGTGAGACAGAGGGTGGGATGAGCACCCTCCAGAGTCGGGTCACCCCACAATGCCTGTTCTCTAGCCCTCCAGCCTGTTGGAGTGTGGGTACTTGCACACATGTCCAGTGTGTTTAAGCAGACGGGGTTGAGGATTTGAACCATGTGGGATCTGGCTTCTCTTAGCAGTGCATTATAGTTGGGCTATGGAGCCAGCCCTGGATTTTTTAAAGTTTAGCTTAATTATATCTTCCATGAGAGAAAGAGATTTGGAGAGGTATCCCAACAAGGTCCTCACCCCACGATCCATCCCCAGGCTCAGCCAGCCAGGGTCATAGGCTTGTGCTTGCGTGTCTGGCATATGCAGGGAGACCTCGGGATGCAAACAAGGGACCTTCCCAGGTGAGCCCAGCATCGTAGAGCGTTGCGTTACCTCTGCGCCACCAGCCAGCCTGAGAACTAGGGTCTGAACCCAGCCCCCAGGTCTGTGTGATGTCAGAGCCTGTGTTCTTAACCACTGTGCAGCTTACTCTGCCAGCTGCAGGAAATGTAAAATGCCACCTTCCCTCCCCCCAGCTCCCCTGCACCCCCACTTCCACCCAGACACATGCACATTCATTCTGCACAGGAGGACCATGGTTAGAAGGAACATGGAGGACTGTTCTGGGGGCGGAGGAGGTGGGGGAAGCTCCAGTTGCTGTGGTCACCAGGCAAGGGGGCCGCTGTGATGTCAGATACAATCTGCTGGCACGGATGGTGGTTTGGCTGGTTGCCTCTTCCCCAGATGGGGGCTCCTGGCAACGAACTGCCCTTAGCTCCCCTGACACATCCTGCCAGGAGCTTGCGAAACTCTGGGGCCACTGTCTGACCTGGCGCACTGTCCCTATCTTCCTCTGAGCAGCTGCTCCCAGGACAAGTCCCCATGCTGCCATGGGCAGGGGCAGGGGTCAGAGGGCCCAGGCAGCATAGAGGTGAGCACTGTGAGAAGAGAGATGGTCTCAGAGCAGGCGTGGGCCCTCTGCAGGCTCCAGACCCCAGCCTTGGCCTGGCCTGGCCTGCCTAGGACTCAGCATAGCTGACATTGGCATCAGCGCCAGAGGGTCACCCAGCCTGCAAAGCGGAGTCCGGGCCCTGCCGCTTCTAGGACCTCTTTTGGAACAAATGGCACAGATTCACTGTGGAAACGGAGATGTTTGAACGACTGCAGGGGGATGTCCTAGGCAGGTGGTCTCTGGAGGGTGTGAAACCATGGACAGGCAGGGCAGAGGGCTCCAGGAAGAGAGAACTGCCACAGACAGAAGTGCAGGGGCAGGAGGTGAGAGAAGGTGAGGGACACTCAAGTGTGATGACAGAGGAGCAGGGTGTCATTGCTGACCATTGACAGTTACCGTTACTGACTGAACGTGCTTTTTTTTTTTTTTTGGAGAGGTTTTCATTATAGGGCACGTGCGCTCGCCAGACACACAGAGAGAGACATAGAGACAGAAAGCAAGAAATCACCCCCCAGGGGGGATGGTCACGCCGCAATCCCTTCTCCTCCATTCTCCTCTCGGGATCTTGGGCATGCACACACGCGCGCCCGGCGTGAGTTCTAAGCCACCGGGTCCAGGACACAAACCGCGGTCGACTACGTGGGAGTCCAGCGACATAGCCATTACGCTAACTGCTGGTTCCCACTGAACATGCTTTTGTGCCAGTCTCAGTGAATCCTCCTGAGCACCTCAGGGGAAAAGCTTTCTTATTACCGCCGGAAAGGTAAGGAAACGGGGAGGAGCTTGCCTGCCTCACACAGTATGATGGGCAGAGCTCGTCCTGGCCTGAGGGCCGTCTACTCGGATGCCCCACTCGTGGCTAGTGTGCTGAAGGAGATGACTTCATTCATTCATTTGCCAGATGAACTCTGAGAGTCTGCTGGAGCCAGGCCCAGTTCTACGCCCCAGAACATCTCCATGGAACAGAGGGAATGCCCCCTAGAGCTGGCATCCCAGCTGTGTAGACAGGAGGAGGAAATGGAAGTGAAGATTTTGGTTGCCCAACTAGTCCCCCAGGTTACTCTGGGGTAGGGCCAGCTTTAAACAGGACAGGACCCTTCCACTTCTGGGTCCACACTAGAGGTTTTGTGTGAGGCTTTCCTGGGTACTGGGCTTTGAGATGAATCAACCACCCCACTCTACCTCCTGCCCCTGAAATTTAGATGGGGGTATGGAATAACCAGGATGGCCTTCCTGGAGGAGGTGGCTAGAGTCTTGTGAACTAAGGAGTATTGAGATGGAGGAAAGCTGACTGAGCAGGAGAGGGGTGTTGGGTGGTGTAAAGAATAAATGAGGAGGTCGGCAGGTGGTGTGGTGGTTAAAGGCATTGGACTCCCACATGGCTGATCATGGTTCAAGCCCTAGAATTGGCAGCTTGCTTTCTCACTGCCTCTTTTTGAGTGTCTCACTTTGGTCAAATTAAAAATAACAATAATGATAAATAAAATAAAGGAAATAATTCTTTAAAAAAAAATAAAAAGGAGTAAATGAGGCCAAGGAGAAGAGGGAGAAGGGGGTTGGGGGAGAAAGAGGCAGGCTGAACAGGGGCACCTTGTAGGTCCAGGTGAGGGATCTGGACTGTGTGACCCAAAGCCCCTGGGAGAGAAGTGGGGTCCCTGCCCCTCCCTAGAAGGAAGATGTGTAGTGTGGCTCACACCTGTGACTTCCAGGGTCAAGCCCACTCCTGTCCAACCTGGGCACATTGCGACACTTGTCTGAGCCCAATCATGTACTTTTTTATAATAATTTAAGAAAAATACTACAGGACATGTGAGCTTGCTGGAAACAGAGAGAGGGAAAGAAAGGGGGGCGGGTGACCATGTTGTAATCACTTCTCCCTTTCTCTCCGTTCTCCTGTCTGGATTTTGGGCATGCGCACATACATACTCAGTGTGATTTTCAAGCTTCTGGTCCAGGACTCAAGCTGCACAGTTGGCCACGTGGGAACCATTACGCCGCAGACTGGCCCTAGATCATGTAACTTATTTACCATGTAGGGAAGATAAGCTCCCCCTAGACTACAGGTGTACCCTCCCTACTCTCCCTGTGATCTGAGCCCTCCCTGGCTGAATCCCAGTCCTCGCTGCACCTGCTCAGCTGGACAGATGTTTGTCACATGCCCTTTGTGTTCCCAGGACAGGGAGAGCTCAGAGTGTGGGGAGATGGAGGAAGTGTTTGGTCATCTCTCTCCCAAAGGCCAGTTGAGACAGGCAGGATGACGATATGGTGGTCGCTGTAGGACAGTGTCTGGACTCCCTAGCTCCTTGCTAGGCATTCTGGTTAAAGTCTGCTCAGGGCACTCCAAGTCAAAAGAGGAGGTGATGGGGGGCTCATGCTGGACCACAAGGCATGCAGGATCACTTTTTCTTTTTTGTGTTATTGGGTGATTGGAAAAATCGTTTCACATTTTCGCATAGAACAGTATGTCATGACTTTTCCGATGACTCAGTAGCAGGCACATGTACTTGCTGGAGAGACACAGAAAGAGGGAAGGACTGTTCCCTTAGGGGACAGTCGCACCACAATTCCTTCTCCATCTCTCCTTCCTTTCCATACTTTGGGCACGTATGCACATGCATCCAGTGTGTTTCCCAAGCCCTTGGGGCTGGGACTTGAACTGTGTGGTTGGCCATGTGGGATCTGGCTGCCTCAGCCACCAGGCCACAGAGCTGGTCCAGGTTCATCACATTTGAGGGAATAAAAAACTTGGAGATTAGGACCAGCAGTTAGCGTAATGGCTATGTTGCTGGACTCCCAT